CTGGAATACTTGATGCGGCTCTTCTCTCTTTGCATTTCTTCATCCATGTTTGTAAGCTAGTTGTATATTTTACAAGCACTGTCAAGACTCCATTAAGCTGCATAGGTAACAGACTGAAACAAGGGCAGCGGTGTATATTAAGTCCGTCAGGGCGGTTTAGTGTGTTCATATCGAAGTTCACTGCTTGTATTAATGGGGAGCGCGAATACTTGATGCGGCTCTTCTCTCTTTGCATTTCTTCATCCATGTTTGTAAGCTAGTTGTATATTTTACAAGCACTGTCAAGACTCCATTAAGCTGCATAGGTAACAGACTGAAACAAGGGCAGCGGTGTATATTAAGTCCGTCAGGGCGGTTTAGTGTGTTCATATCGAAGTTCACTGCTTGTATTAATGGGGAGCGCAAAGGCTGTGTGCACACCGCGGGGCCATTTCGGGATACCTCCAGCATAAAGAAATGAGAAAGAAGCTATTTGGAAGTAACCTCGAAATAAGCTCTGCCCTTTGCTTTGCGTGAGCGTCATAACAAACGCAAGTTGATGGAATTTCACTGCATCTTCGTGTTTACGAATCTGTTCGCATGGAGGGTGGTCACAGCCAAGGGTTTCATACCTTACGTAGGTGCTGGTGTCGGTGGACTCATAGAACCACAGACTCTAGAACTGGAAGGGACCGTGAGAGTCATTGAGTCCAGTCCCCTGCCCGCATGGCGGGACCCAGCACCATCTGGACCAGGGCTACTCAGGGCTACGCAGGGACCCCAGCAGCAGGAGACGGGCAGCGGCTCTGGCAGCCCCGAGGGAAATGGAGCCACGTCCCAGCTCCTACCACGGCGACCCGCCCCCGGGGGCTCTGGCTCGAGGGGCCGAGCGGCAGCCCCGAGGGAAATGGAGCCACGTCCGGACTCACCTGCCAGCGCGGGGCTGCAGACCAGGCAGCCGAGGAGGCAGAGGGTGACGAAGGCGACTGGCCCCATCTTCTCGCTGCCCCTGGGGAGAAAACACACAAGGGAGATGGGCCAGGAGAGCTGGAGACACCCCCAGGAGCACCCCTCCCCCCTCCCATGGGGCAGTTCATGGGGGGGGGCAGAGGTGGGGCTGTTCTCTGGGGGCCTGGCCGGGCTGGAAGGGCCTGAGGAATCCTGCCCCACACCCACAGCTCGGAGCCCATCTCCCTCGGCGCACGGGGCCCTTCTGCTCCCCCTCACTGCGCCGAGCCTGAGGGGCAGAACCGGGCCCCCAGCCTGGGGCAGGTCCCAGCTCCCCACGGCCAGACTCTCCCCGAGCCAGGGCTGCGGGTGGGGAGGAGCCGGGGACCAGGCGTGTCCTGGGTCGCTCCCGGGGCCTTTGGTTCCAGGCAAGGGGGTCCCATTGGAGAGCCAAGCGGGTCTCAGCAGGGGCATTTGCCCCCTCCCGCGGCCCCTCCCCTGGGCTGGGGGTGGCCCCTGCCCACGTGGCCCCACACGAGGGACGTGGAGGGCGGCGGGGGAGGGACGAGGCTGGAGGAGGCACCGCTGCCCCGGGGTGGAAGTCGGTCTGTGTGCTCGTGGCTGGAGTGTCAGCGGCAGGAGCCGCCCTCTGCCCCGGACCCCGGACTGGAGAGCGGGCTTCCTGCTGGGAACCTGGAGCCCCTCGAGTTCTCAGCCAGCTCCTGGCCCAGGAACCCCTGAGCCCAGCCAGGGCCTTCCCCGCCCGCAGGGGGTGAGCCCCAGGGGAACGGACCGCTCCAGGGCCCGAGTCTGGGGAGCCGACCCCCTGGGCTTGGGGCCGGGGGGGGAGGAGGGATAGTTATTGTAGACAGCTGTGGGGCTGGGATTCCCGTCCCACCCCAGGGACTGGCTGCCCCCAAGGGCTTTGCATGGAGGGAAGGGACCAGAGGGGCAGTATCTCACCTGTCCGTGTGTCCGTCTGCTTGTCCGTCTGTCTGGGTGGCCGGTCCGAAGCGCTGGGGGCTGGTGTCCAGCCGGTGCAGGGTCCCAGGTATTTATAGCCCTGCAGGGGGCGGGGCTGGGGGAAGGGGGAGGAGCATGAATGTGGAAATGGGACCAGTGACCACACAGCTGAGAGATGGCAATCTGCCCCTCCCCCACTCAGTTTCTGTGACGGACCGGGCCGTGTCTGGGCACAGCTGAGGGCGTCCGCGTGGCCAGGGAATGGCTTTTGTGCAAAAGGGCCAGTGTAGACAGCTCAGATTTGTTTTCCACAAAAAAGCCCTGATGGCGAAAATGGCGATCGGGGCTTTTTTGCGGAAAACCGCCTCTAGATTGGCACGGATGCGTTTCTGCAAAAAGTGCTTTTCCGGAAAAGCATCCTGCCAATCTAGACGCGATTTTTCCGAAAATGCTTTTAACAGAAAAGTTTTCCGTTAAAAGCATTTTTGGAAAATCATGCCAGTGTAGACGTAGCCCAGATGTCTATAAATCATGACTAGTGTCATGGAGAAAATGAACAAGAAAATGCTATTTACTTTTCTTATCCCGCAAGCCCTAGGGTCACTCATTTAGAGGACTAGGCAGGAGGTTTAAAACAAACAAACAAACAAACAGAAGTATTTTTTCACACAGCGCACACTCAACCTGTGGAACTCCTCGCCAGAGGATATTGTGCCGATCCAAGACTGTAACACGATTCAAAACAAAACTAGATACATTCATGGAGGTTGGGTCCATCGATGGCTGTTAGCCAGGCTGGGCAGGGATGGTCCCTAGCTGCTGTTTGTCAGGGGCTGGGAATGGGTGACAGTTAGGGATCACGTGAGGATTCCCTGGTCTGTTCACTCCCTCTGGGGCACGGGGCAGTGGCCGCTGTGGGCCGACAGGACCCTGGGGGAGCTGGGCCTTCGGTCTGACCCTGTGTGGCTGCTCCGGGCTCTACTGACCCGATGTGAGCTCACACGCACACACCCGTGCAATGGGGCGCGGAGAAGCCAGGTGCAGTTGCTGACGGTCTGGGAGGTTTGGGGTCATTACCAGCCGGGCTCCTGGGACCCTCTTTCCATCCAGGCCCTGGGCATTTCCAGGCCGGCTCCTTGCCGGACGGAAGCTCCTGGGGACGCTGGTGAGGTGTTTACGGGTGCCCGATCCGTCAGCTCCCGGCACTTTTAGTGACTCCTTGTGGGTCAGCACCACCCCCTTGCCTGGTTCCATCCAGGCCCTGGGCATTTCCAGGCCGGCTCCTTGCCGGACGGAAGCTCCTGGGGACGCTGGTGAGGTGTTTACGGGTGCCCGATCCGTCAGCTCCCGGCACTTTTAGTGACTCCTTGTGGGTCAGCACCACCCCCTTGTCGGGCCCGGCCCTTCCAGCGTCCCCCCGCCCCCCCCCGCGCTCTGTCTCCCACCTCGCCGG